AGGGTTCCAGAACTATTTTTTAATCTACTCTTGGTTTAATAAATCCACATGACTGTGATCATACGTCAAAAGTGTTTTTATCACATGAAAGTCATAAAAATAATACGAAGTACATGAAACAAATTATGTATATATGAATTGGTCATGCCACTCCTTATTTAAAACGTTATAGTTTAGCTTTAGACCTCTATCCTGAAAAGTTTTCATATTGCGGATGTGGAGTTATTGCATCAAATGTGCGATTTAAACAAAAAAAGCGTTATACATTCTGTGTAAAAAGTGTAACTTGTTCGACAAAGTGTATTTTGTCGCCCTCAAAACAAGTCCCTTAGCGTGCAATCTAGCTACACTAGCGCTTGACTCAGTTGTCCATACATTTTTCGTAAGCTGATTGAGGTATGGTATTCAACTCAACAAAATTTCTTTTGTATTTGCAATGGACTCGTAACGCTTTCCTCGAAGCGGTAATTTGAGTTTCGGTAATAGGAAAAAGTCAGACGGAACCATATCAGGTGAGTACTGTGGTTGGTCGATGACATTCGTGGAGTTTCTTTTCTAAAAATTCTTGCACAATATAATTTTGTGCGATGGTCTGCCATCATGATGCAAAATTCATGAATTAACAAATCCGGCTGTTTTCGGTGGATATTCGCTTATGGTCTTTATTCACCGTCAATCTCTCTTAATCCATCTGGTAGAAATTCGTAGCGCACCACACCACGGCAGATCAAATCGAAGAAAAAACCATCAGCACAATTTTGATTTTCGAGCGTTTTTGTCGCGGTTTTTTTGGGTTTCGCCTCGTTTTCGAGGTGCCATTCTGAAGACTTGGCTTGTTTGCATGTCGTACTCGTAAACCCAATGTCTTATCACCAGTTATTAATAAGTTTCATGTAGATGAGGTCCGTAAAAGATCGGGAAATCATGTCTTGAGCAACCTGCTTTCGACGATCTTTTTGAAGAAAATTACAAACACCCAAATTAATGAAATACAAAGACAGCAACTAGCGCCAAAATTTTGCGTGGTTACTCAAAATGCAGGGCTACCAATTTACAGAAAAAAACGAGTCGATATGATTACGGCGCGTCTTGAAACTTATAAAATCCCGGTACTTTTTACACAGAGTAGTTCTTCTAACATTCGACATATTATCCGAAAATTACATTAAAAAAATCATGATATCTCTTCAAGCGTTTCAACAATCCTAACTAAAGTTTCAAAGCTGCTAACCCACCTGCCAGATTCAAGTTCGAAGTTGGTTTACCGACACCCCCTACCCATATCCGCTGTATTGGTCGGATTTCCATTCCGCTACTTTGAGAGTGCTCCCTGCGGATTTGAAATGGAGTTTCACGGCTCGATGGTAGAGATTACTTCGTGTCATTACACTTCATATTACGCGTTTTTGATATGTTGTATCGTTTTATTACGAAATTTCAAGATAGATCATTTGTAAAGTGTGATGTTACCAAATCAAAAAGTACATAATAATAACAAATGAAAAAGTTAGAATTAAAACTATAATATAGTGTAATTGGTTTATTTTCAATTTACATTGTAATATGTATTTTGCTTTCAAAGAAAATGATTAAGCTATCTTGTATGACACTAGATGAAGTATATAGCTAGCTTTATACATAGTTATAAAGAGAGACGAAAACAAGACAAAAGGGTCAGTCTTATGTTTGGGAAGTTTGTATAATACGAATAAACAATATTTACAAAAGTTGGGAAGACATAATGCTAAAGATTCAAAGAAATATTAAAGAAACTAAAAATGGGTAGATACTTTTTCACTTAAACTTATCCCAACGTATGATTAACAAGAGTCCTTCATAAATCGATTGTTTTATCATACACTTTAAATTTTCAATATTGATAACAATCTTACGTATTTATATCTCACAGGATGTCACACATCGTCCTTTCTTACGTTTAGTTATTTACATTTAAATTATTAATCACGACATATTAAGGAGTACAATAAAATAGGGGATAGTCTAATTGACTTAGCGGTTCTCGGTGGTACCAGGTCACCTCAGACTTGAGGCGTCCAGTACCAAATACCGGGGCTAAAGGGAAACAAACTCTGGCGGTGGCGGTGGTAATGTCAAAACGGGGGTCTCCGACACTTCAGCTGTTTGGTTTTCTGAACTGGCTCCTGGTAATGACCACGTTGAGCTACCAGCAGCCGTTACTCTAGGTCCCATGTTGTCATAAGCCGGTGTCCCGCAACATGTTCTAGTCCGGCGTGGCAGAGTCGCACCGCCACTCAACAGATCGGGATATTTTCCAGGTTCTCCAGTACCCGCGACTTGGACCGATATGAAAATATTGCCATATGGTACTGGTACTGCAAATTCAGCGGGGGGTGGAGGGAATGCACCTGGAGTTCCTTCTATCGTTATATGGACTGGATCAAAGCCACACCCTCTAGGTTCCTCGGAAAGTGACCTGTCCGTAAGTTCAAAATCGCAAGGTGACGCCATATTTCCTATCGAACGATCACAGCTCACCACCACAGAGGCATCTATAAGTCGCTTTTCTTGATCGTTAAAACTTCGACTGGGAGGCACTGTTCGTCGTCGTATACGCCAACAAGCTACAGCAGCTATAAATCCTAGGAATGCTAATGCACCTAGTGCACCAAATACAACTCCTAACAGGTGAGGTATCCCAGGAGCAGTACGAGCTGTAGCAGTTTGGGATCTTGGAAGTACTAAGCTGATAATAGCACGGGCCTCGCCAGCTACGCTCTGAGCTACGCAAACCCATTCTCCAGCTGCACTTGAAGTCACATTGACAAGGGTTATATTCACCCATCTGACACTACCTGGTACTCGATCCTCTGAGTCATCTTCCACTTCAGTTTCTACCTCTTCCATTTCACAATCTACTGTACTATTGTGTACATCCACACCTTCAAATAACCATGTTACTTTCGGTTTCGGTACTCCATGGACCCAACACCCAAAGGAAGCAGCAACACCAACTTCTGCTCTAACAATTAATGTGCTTGAGCGTACTTCTGGGGCACAAGACATACTCTCACTGAGAATGTTTCTCCACTTGTTCCCAGCTTGTGTAGATGGTTCAACACACACTAAATCTTCATTGCCTAAAGTGCTTTCCAAGAACCAATCTTTAAATTCACGTAGACGGCAATCGCACCTCCACGGGTTGCCTGATAATGAAATTGTTTTCAGTGCAGGTAACGAAAATGTAATCAGACGAAGGAATGTAAGTTGATTTCTTCGCAAATCAATAGTTTCTAGAGACTTCAGATTTCGGAAGGCATTCGTGTGAATCGACCTTAATCTGCAGCCATCTAACATAAGCATTCGTAAATGCGGTAGCGGTGGGAATTGGTCTGCGACTAATGTCGTTAATGGGTTGTTGCTTAGTATTACTAAACGCAGTCTTTCGTTGCCTCGGAATATTTCCCTCGGCAAACTTGAAAGGTCGTTGTCAGCTAAATCGACTTCTATTAAAATCCTTAATTCTAAAAATGCATCTGCATGGATCGATCTAAGTTTGGTCGCTCTTAGATTTAATCTCTGTAGATTCAGGAGGTCTATATTGGCGAAGACTTCTTGTGGGAGGTTTCTGAGCGGGTTGTCGTGGAGGTCGAGAACTTGAATATCAGATGAGAGAGCTGGCGGGCGGCGCAGGTCACTGGAGGCGCAATTGGCTGTCTTCTTGCCCGAGGACCACTTGCAGCGACAAGAAGCGATGTGGGCACAATCGAGCCAGTCGCTGGCAGTTCTCGCGGCGCACGTCGTGAAGATTACAATCCAGTACCATCTGGCCCACGCCACGCGCATACTCATCTCATTTCGGCTTTGTGTTTACATCGGCCGTCTGCCTGAAACAACAAGAGGAACGTTAATTACATAAGATTACCTAAACAATGCAGTGGAGAAAATACAATACGTCTGGTTATCGTATCTGTAAATGAATTTGATGTAATTAACGATATGGGGCTACTAGTATATTCGGGCTCATTCACTACGCGATGTTAATCGTAGTTTAAGTTAGCCCCCGTTTACAGTTGAGTGAGTTGCTACAAAATTAGATTGGTACATGGAAAAGCTTAATTACAATAGTCGAAGTCAAGTCATTTATTTTAAAGTGATATTGAAGATTTTTATCAGCGTTTTGGAAGCATATTAAGAAATAAGTCGCAGAAAAAAGAAACTGAAATAAAAATTTATTTTTAGTTTGCCTACAATTATATTACCTAACTAGACTTTAAAATTAAATTTAAGGCGTAATACGTGTTTCAGATTCAAAGCAAGTGGAAGGCTAAACCCGATTGGAAAAGGATATGTAGTGTATGTATGTGTGTATATTATATATTATTTTTTATTATTGGTACTGACTGAGAGCAACAGACAGCCTCACAAACAAATAAAGGAAACATGTATATTGGACCGCCATGCAGGGTGATTATGAAATCGATTAACTTACAGCTTGATAGCTGGAAGAGGGATATTAAGGGGAACGTGGCATTCAAAAAGGCCAACAAAAAATATGGAAATATTCCCAACGGATTTTTCTTAAATTAAAGATTTTATATACATTAAGATTTTTACTTCTTTAACTCCTTTGAGAGCGCTGGTACTTTTATGAATTGCTTTTTTCTTTCCCTTTTCTTTATAATATCCTAAAGAAACCTTCTGTTTAATAAACAAAGTATTTAATTAAATCTTATTTAAAAAACGACTAGAAATAAAATTTGTTTTTCATAGCTTATTTGTGCGAGTTCAAGAAAAAAATACACAATACTGTAAAAACTTGTCGGCGTATCCAGTCTCCACTCCAACTCGAAATTATTAACATGAAACCTAATCCAAATTAGCACTAAATCCACTAGAGAGGCTAGAAATACATCAAATGGAACTTGGTACAGTAATTAATCCACCTTTAATTAAATTAGTTCCCGGTTTCGTCGTTAGCCTCTACAGTTGTAACACCAACACACTAGCCACTCCACGACAGGGTGCATAAACACTAGACCGTTGTTAGTGAACGAGGGAGAAAATTAATTTTGCACTGAACACTATTGTTTACTCTTTGCCTACTGAGATAGCGTTGTGATATAATTATTCGAAATTCATCGGTAGATAAAGGCTTTCAAATAGAAATTATGTGGAAAATAAATATCCCTATATATTTATAGATAGTAGGGATAGTGACCCGTTTAGCTCTTCTAGGATATTTTAAATGAATATTGCAAACGATAAATGTTACAAATGTTTAGTTACAAAGAGCAATCCTTATATAGTTTCTTACTTAGTCTTGTGACTAGATGGGACGATTTAAATTTTTTTATCATACCAAATGACGAAGGGACGAATTAGTCGTATGCCTGGATGAAAATTACACGCCTGTCCATAACAGTTGCAGTGTCACGCAGAGCTTTACATCACAAAGATCTGCAGGATACTACCACCGCGCCCCTGCGCACTTGGTGCATGTAATTTCACCTTTACCCTTCAAAACCAGAACGCAGTTATACTCACATTACTGTTTAGCGGCAGAAATAGGTAAGGTGGTAGTATTTCCCTGGATATACACTTTCGTGGGGAGCTTTTGCTGCTACAAATGTAATTTGCTTACGTACGAAATGAAAATATATTTGAGCAAATCGTCAATTGCATTTGTAACTCGTAAGAAATTTAAAGGTTACCTCATACTCGGAAATTAAACTATTTTTTCGGATCTAAAATCGCATATTATTGTTTTTCAAACAAACCAACCTGTCATGTAAAAAAACCCGAGATTTTTGGTTTGTTGAGAAAAACAATTATTGTACGCAATTTTAGATTTTCAGTTTGTAGCAATGATTTTTTAGTGCATGTCATAAAGTCAGAGATAAATTAGGAAGTTGGACAGTAACATTTTTTTTTGAGCGATGGTAAGATAAAGGCAAAAGGAAACGAAAACAATTTCGTACCACACTTTAAACATTTATTCACTGAAAAAATATGAAATACACGATAAAGAATCCTTACCATACCTATATAAAAATCATCCAAGTTCATCAATCAATTCGCCATTTTGTTGAAGGATATCCGCCATTATGCGGTGCTGAATAAGTTAGAGATAAAGGTGGGACAAAGCCCGTTCTCTCATTCCCTCGGTATAATGATATTTTCATATCATTAGCCCCGACATGTCTTCTGTAGGTATAATGTTTTAAACATACCTCGTCTATCTTTTCGTGATAGAAGCATTTGTTTTGTATTTTTATAATCTTAGATTCTCTAAGGTTTTTAATCAATTTCAAATATTTGTTTTTGTTTTTTAAATTTCAATTGTAATAATAATAAACTTTGTTATGTCATTATTCATACAGTTCGTTAATAAATTCTTAAAACTATGTTTGTATTTTTGTATTATCCTAATATCTTAACCCTGATTCAAATATTTCCAGGAGCCATTTATGTGCTTCCCGATCATAGGCATTGGCCTACAAAAAGACAATGAAGCTTATCCCTAACGACCTCCAAGTAGGGAAACTGGTCGTTTTCTGATAATGGCATTTCGGATGCACTACAGAAAGGAGCCTCATCAGGATCTTAAAGGCATATTGCATTGGAAGGGCATCAACAGCTCTCTGTGTATACTTATTCTTATTATACCTAACGTAATCGATATTTTTAGCAAAATCGAGTTACATAATTATCTGGTTAGAATCAGCGAAACGAGATTTTTATATCTTATTTAGTTTCAGTTTTATTGTTAAGCAATAAAGTTTAAATTAAAAATGAAAACCAACTTTAAGGTGTAATATCTCGAAGGTTACCAAAATTCAAATGCTTTATTATGATGAGGAGAGCGACATATTTGACCCACATAATTCAGGGTTTTCGTAAATTGTATATAGCATAATCTGCCCTCCTTGCCATAACTACCTCTTTAGCATGTCGGTGATTTTCGACATGTTTTTTATTTTATTTATCATTTGCCATTCAGGCAACTTAATGGTTACAATTATGTTACTAACTCTTAGCCTATGTTAGTACTTGATTAACATTGATTTCTCCCTTTTGTGCTTCGTTCGTTTTTTTGCGCCATACTGCGTTGAAATTATCGGTACGTGCACTTAAAGTTTTTTTGCTAATAAAAATGTCAACCTTACCTTACTTAAGATGCAACTATGAAAATATCAAATTTTTAAAACAGGAATGTGATATTTTTTCTAAAATTTTATACCAAAATGATTTCGTGTAACGTATTTCAAATAAACATCCATAAGCAACCTTCGTACCAAATGTAACGAATTTGATATTAACAAAAATGTAAATAACACAAAATTTTAATATTTTAATTACACTAACCTATTGTATCTTTTACCACCTAAAACAGGTTCGTCGATAAACAATGACAAAATTCCGACGAATTTGTTTTATGGTTGTAAACATTTATTTTCTTCGGGGAGACGATTGTTTTTGATAAATTCGTTTTACATTGCCTCCACGGCTCCCTGAAGGTTTTCTGTCAAGATTAGAAGGATTAATGGTGGAGGGATATTTGTCTTGTCCGAATGGTTCCGGATGGCCACTCAATAGAACCAGTTATAGAGTCGCAAGAAATACCTTAGCTACGGTAGCTGTAGCTTATAATTCAATATAAGTAACACTAACGGATGAATAACGCTAAGGCCAATTAAAAATGCCTGTTTGTGGATTGCTTCATCAATTTGAAAACGGGGTCAAAACATGATTGTTTTGATCCCGTTTTCGTACAAAAGATTTTGGACTAATGTGTCCTACCAATTATTGGGTGAGATTATAAATGATTTATTGCGTTATCCCCGAGACATTCAGAGGTTTAAAACCACAAACACGATTATACAATATTACTTAATACTACAATACAATAAATTAACCACTGAAAACATTTGACTACATCATTGGTACAACGGTTTATATCACGGACGCTGGATGAGGAGGTACCGGGTTCGATTCCCGTTAAGACCAAATTAGGAAATGATTCTGAATTGGTTCTATCTGGGTGTTCTGGGAAACTCAGAGTGAGTTCCATTGTTCTGATACATATAGATAAAATAAATATTAAATAAAAATTACACATACGTTGCTCTGATCCCAAAGTAAGTAAATAAAGCACTTGTGTTATGGAAATCGGAAACAACGACGGTACCAACCACAAACACCCAGACCAGAGACAATATAGTAAAAGTTCGTTCAAATTCAGTTCTACAATGCCGGGGATTGAACCCGGATCTTCAGAGATGGCGATACCAAATCTGCTACGCAAGCCACTCGGCAACGGAGGTCGTCCACTCATAGTACAGGCAATTAGTGTGATTATTTGGCGCATTATCACATTACAGAAAAGTAATTTGCATACAAATGTACGAGTTAAACGCACAATAATAATAAAAATAAATGAGTATCGCGGCGCATGCTTGCTTTTAGTTATGGACAGAAAATCCGAGATGTAGCGCGAGTTTTCAGTGGGTATATAAGAAGTCAGGTAGTCGGGCAGTGGTGTTTCTTTCCATTCCTTCCCTTAATTCCCATTACTTCCCAGACTAGTTTGCTCAACAAGATGCCTCTCACTCGCACCGTACACACGCTAAATCGAGCACCTGAAGTAGCTGACATTTTTTTTAGCCGACTTCTTCAGCTTTTGAGAGATAAATTTAAAGAGATTTACATTTTTACACTAACGTCGCAGTACGTTTATGAAAATGTTATTTCTGTTAAGAAAAATATTGTTAACCGACTTTAAAAAAGGAGGAGGTTCTCAATTCGACTGTATGTTCTTTTTTTTGTATGTATGTTACGCGATAACTTTGTGAACCGATTTTCATGATTCTTTTTTTGTTGCAAA